TTCGTATTTCAAATCTTTGACTTGATTCTTGGGATCCTCTAGTCTGTTGTTGGAAGTATGCATAGTATTCTTTATTTCAGTCAGTGTATGCTTAATTTCTAATTGGTCCTTTTTCATATCCTTGAGGGTCTCACTATATTTCTCGGAGGTTTTTAGAAGATTCTTATAACCGTGGTTTTGAACTCTATATCCAGTAGTTTGCTTTCATCTATTTCTTTCATTTGTGCCTATTTCTTTGTCTCCGCATTTTGGCTGCTTCCCTATGTTGATAGAGTGGCTTTGTGTGCTAGGTGTCCTATAGGGCCAAGTGGCTCAGCCTCACTAATTACCAGAGGTGGACACTCTTGGTGCACCCCTTTGTGGGCTGTGTGCACCGTCTTGTTGTAGTGAATCCTTGATTGCTGTTGGTATCCCTGGGAGGAATTGACCTCCAGGCCAATTGGCTGTGAGGACCAGTTGTGTCTACAATGGGAGAATTTCTGTGCTGGAGACACCCTTATGGGGCAGGACTTGCTTCAGTGGGGCTTTGGCACTCACTGAGTCTGCCCAGGTTTTTAGGTGGAGAAAGGCCAGGCCATTCATATGCAAAAGCCTCTGCACAGGGCTTGGGTTGGGTTGTAAATTGGGTGGGGAGGGATCTCAAGGAATCACCAGGGCGGAGCAAACCGCAATGGCTGCCAGTCTGCTCTGCCTCGGGGAGGTCCCCAGATCTGTGTCCCGAGGCCCGTGTAGGAACAATGACCGCTGCAAGCACCTCTGGGAGAAAGCCGCCCTCACGTTCCTGCCCGATGCCCGACAGTCCAGTTTCTCTTCGTATGAGTCTGGGTCCCCAAATTCTCACCTGGAACTGGAGGGAGCTTGTGTCTCCCTCCCAATTGAAAAAGACAACAGCGTACACAGCTGCCAGCCCCTTTCACGCACGCCTCCATACCTCCGCACTTCCACACCTCTGCACCTCCTACCGGACTCAATTTGCTTTTCTCTTTCCTTCTAGTTGTATAATTTCCACTCAGCCAACATTCCTGTGGTTCTGGATGATACTCGTTTTGTCTTTTAGTTGTAGTTTTAACGTGGTTGTGCGCAGCAGCAAATTCAGGTGTTTACCTATGCCGCCATCTTGGTTCTCCTGAGCATCTTTCCTTATGTCTGTTGGCCATCTGTGTGACTTTTGTGGAAAAATGTCTATTCAAATCCTCTGCCCAATTTTAACCAGATTTTTTTCTACTGACTTGTATGACTTCTATATATTTTTTTTACTACAAACCTCTTATCAGATACATGATTTGTAGAGTGGTATTTTTTAAATAAAAATGGGTTTGTTGTAGTAGGCAATTAGTATTTCTTTATCAGCTCTCCTTTTGGAAATGAAGCCCCGTTGCCTCTCCAGCAATTATGTGGAAATGATTCTGGAGCAGGCAAGCAAAAGGAAGCCACTGTATGTCTCAACTCGTTTCTCTTGCCCAGTTCCCCAAGTGCTTTAAAGGCAATGATGTCCACAACCTTTCCCCTGAGTTGCATTCACACCTGGAACACGAAAAGGCACTTGTGATCACCGGTCTTCTATTCTTCCGGAACACTTTACCTCTACAATGAAAGGACTATTCCCCCAATTACAATTACAAAGGACTTGAGAGAAATGCATTGGTTGTCTCCTCTCTGACTATTGATACCTTTCCTGTCACTAAAATAATGTCCATGTTTTCCTAGGTGACCAAGATATCAACGTGGTTTCTCAATACATCTCAAAAATGAAAGTCATTTATCCAGCAGTTGAAGGTCGGATCACGTTTTCTGCAGGAAGCCATTACCATGGAAACTTTTATCTAATATTCCTCTCGATTTTGGCAGCTATCCTTGTTTTATACCAATAGCCAAAAAACTCTCCTTGCCATTAATGTGTGAAACTGCCTTTTAAGAACTTTCTTTATAATGGCACAGACCGTCTTCGCAGGCTCCTAGAAGCTGAGCTTAGAAGATCGTAAATAAAGACATTGACATCATCACTCAGGATCAACAACTTAGTGAACACACAGGAAAAGAATTTAAAATGAGCCCTGAGAGAGGAAGACCACTGTCTTCGGTTTGCATATGCATATTTTAAGCTGTTCAGAATACTTAATGGACTCCTCTCTTCATGGATAACAAATTTCTGCTTTATTTCTGGTCTCTTCTTTTTCCTGTTATAGTAAGTTGCATGGACTAAATAAGAGCATCATTCTTCCTTGTGCCTCCTACGTTCCTTTGATGAGTCAAGGAACAAATGATGCAGCAGATAATGGGACCGGCCAGGTCAAGGGGCGGGAAGAAAGGGAAGGGAAGGAAGGGCACCCAGGACCGATTTTCATTGCAGAAGAGAGCTAAAGGACATAGGTTTCTTACATAGATATTTCCTGAGAGTAGCAGCATAGTGCCTGGCACATGGCATTAACTGTTTACGAGATTCCATCGGTTCTGCTTCTGTGCTCTTTCCTTTCTTCTTAATTTTAAGGTGTCATGAGAAGAGAACCTTCTTAGACCAGGTGTCATTCTAAACCTCCCCAGCAAGTGCCAATACTGTACTTATTCTAGTCACACCACAAACACACACACACTCCCCCGTCATGGCACACCTAGAGGGGAGACAAGGGTTGATTTTTAAAAAACGGTGTACAACAGCAGTTTGAAGTCAGCTCTGCCTCCAACCTGGAACAGTTACTCTTAAGTCATTCTCAAGTCTACTAGTAGATATGAGAGCTCCTACCTGGGCGTGGGCCCCTCTGAGTGGGTGCTCAGGAAATACCCAGACTGAAGAGATAATTTTTGCCCAAAGGTGGTTGTGGGAACATGTGAACCTGCTCAGTGTTGCATGATCCAATGAGAAAGGGAAACCTTCACCTTAGAAAACAGTGAGCACCTAAGAAAGAAAGAGCACCTACAATGACCACAAAATAAAACTAAACAGAAACTTGTATGGACCATAAGGGAGTATGGGAGGAGTTTCTGGGGTGCTACAGTTTTCCATGTCTATCTGGTTGGTCACAGGCTTGTCCAGTGTGTGAAATCCATTGAACTGTACGTTTGTGATTTATACACATTTCCAAATATATTTATGCATATAAAAAAGTTAAAAATAGTGAGCAAATAGTAGCTAGAGGTTTGGAGAGGGAATATGTTTATTTCTTAATGTTTACAAATATTAAGAAGGTACTTAATATTTGGTGGTGGAGTGCCTCAGTTGGCATAGAATATACTTGTCATAACATCTGTATAAAGGTTGTGGCAGTAAAATAATGTCCTCAGTTCTATGTATATACACATTCTCTATAAATAATGTCAGTAAGATTGTAGGGAGCCCTAGCTGGTTTGGCTCAGTGGATAGAGCGTCAGCCTACGGACTTAAGGGTCCTAGGTTCGATTCTGGTCAAGGGCACATACTTGGGTTGCGGGCTCGATTCCCAGTAGGGGGCGTGCAGGAGACAGCCGATCAATGATTCTCATCATTGATGTTTTTATCCCTCTCTCCTTCTCCTTTCCTCTGTGAAATCAATGAAAATAAAAACAAAAAAGATTGTAGGGAAAATTAGAAACTCTCCTTCTCCTTTCCTCTGTGAAATCAATAAAAATAAAAACAAAAAAGATTGTAGGGAAAATTAGAAGGGCAGTTGGGGTATATTTTTTATGCTTGGACTTGTAAAATAGAATAAATTCTACTAGAGCACAAACTTTAAAGAACATTTTTATAACTTTTCTAAATATGTGTGCATGTGTTGTGCAATGGTTTAAGAAATGACCTCAAAAAGCTTTGTAATTGCAGATTCCAAACAATAAAATTGAAGATAGGCTCTTTGTCTTTGGTAGTTATTTCTTCTTTCTAGTGAACACCTATAACCCAAGACAATAAGAAAACTTATTTCTGACTGACAGAAAACTAACAATTTACTGATATCATTTCCCTTGATCATAGGCCACTTGCTATGAATAACCCTCCCTGTCCCCCTTCTCACCCCAAAAATGGAAAGAAAAATACATGTAATCTTTAGGGAGGCGAGAAGAGTAAGTAAAGAATATTTTAAGTAAGACTACTACACTTTCTGGCTTTCATATGTAGAATCTGATGTAGAAACTGTTTTGAGGCCTGTAATGGTTTCCTAGAAATAAAAAAGGCCCACGTTAGTGTTGGGGATTTTAATTGATTTATCTGAACTGGTTGTGCATTTAAGAATCTTCAAGCGTACAGATGACACAATAGACTTTAATCAATCAGACACATTAAATCCATTTGGTGGCGGAGTGCCTTCAGCAACTTGAGACAGTGAGCTGGCTTTCTAGAAGAAAGCTTAGGCTGCCGACAGCTGTCCTTTAGAAAAAGTTGCTCCCTCGAGGAGTATGCAGTCCCATGGATGTTTGGCTAAGTTTGCCTAAATTAGGAAAGGTCCTGGATTCATTTCATGGGGCTACTGTAATGAAGTGCCACAAATTGGGTGGCTTAAACAGCAGATAATCATCTCAGTTCTGGAGGTTTCGAGTCTCAGATCAAGCTGACAGGGTTGGTTCCTTCTAAGGTTTTGAGAATCTATTGCACATAAATTAAAACGACTGTTGAGCAATTCAACAGTCTGCAGAGTTTAGTAGTCCCATTCTCTAGTCCAGGGGTCGCCAATCTTTTGGACCTCAAGGACCACCAGTGGTCCGCGGACCACAATTGGCGACCGCTGCAAGCATGTCAAACTCAAAGGCTAACACGGGCTGAATAAACAAGGTTTAAGTTTAAGTGGGCCACAAAAAAACAAAAGCTTCAATTTTCATAGAAACGTAGGTTTATTTCGATCGAGACATGCTGAATACAAAGGGCTGAAATAAATGAGTAATTGTTAACAAAATAATAGAACATTTTAATAAAAATTAATTTTTTCTTGAATATTAACTTACCAGACACTGAATAACTGCACAAATTAATAAGCATAACTCAAATAAACCTATTTTTTTTTGTTCTCCGAAAGCAAAGTATTTCCTGTTGCGCACACCAAACAAGTCAGTACAAGACTAATGATGTGGAAATTGGCTGCTAGAATATTCACTGCTAGTATTAGTGGAGAGAAATGGTGCGCCGGCGCGTAAGGCGCGTTAGGGAAATGAATGCAACACGATTATAGTAATCAGTCATTAGTGAACATTGTAGTTCATTATTAATAATATATATCAAGATATTGTAAAAATTAAGTTATAAAATTTTTATTAAAACATTTCTTACATACCATTATATTGGCTGGGCCGCAAAAATATTCGTTGTGGGCCACATGCAGCCCGTGGGCCACGAGTTTATCCCTCTGGTGTTCGCCTGCCACCCTAAACTTATTTGTATCTTGTCTGTGTCCACACAGATGCATCTCTTATGCACTTAACTTCTTTTAACTATTCAATCTGCATGGCTGATTTCTCACCCTCTTCTGTTCTTTTCTTCAGTGAGCCACCCAACATTATTTAAAATTGTAACCCTGTACCCATACCACTCTATTTCCTTTCTCAGTTTATTTTCCTCTGAACACTTACTTTATAACATATTATACTATTTCTTCACTTATTATTTATTGTGTCTCCCTCAGTTTGAATGTACGCTTATAAATGCACAAATATATCCCTAACATCTAAAACTGGCACATAGTGAAGGCTAAATACACATTTGTTGAATTGAATGAATCGCGCATAATTCCCTCTCTCAGACCTCTGTGCCACCCCCTTCACTCAGATGAAAAGCCACACAGTCCTTTTCTCCAGGATCATCTCCTCCAAAGAAAACAAAGAATATAATTTCTCTACCTACAAACACAAACACCCTTTTCATTGTGCAGAGCAGTTTGACTCCTGTTATTCTAACCCTTCTAAAACCAAAAGACCAATTAACTCTTCCCCAAAAAGGATGGCTGACTTTTTCCAAAGATTAAATTTTGTAGCCTCCTTCCCCTACTCCCTAAAATAAAGATGATTACAATTCTTCCAGCAGTATCTCTTTTCCCTTCTCCCTTTTGTTCTACATCAGGGATTAGCAAACTACAGCCTATGGGCTAAACCCTGCCTGCCACTGCTGGATGAAAATAAGATTTTATTGGAATACAGCCACATCCATTACTTGGAATGAAACAATATGTTGAAATAAAAACACAATTTTTCACTGGATTTAACCATCTTCTAGGGGCCCAGAGGCCGCAGGTTAAATATCTCTCCTCTATGTACCCAGCACTGTTAAAGATATTCTTAAATACATGAGAGAGACCATACACTGACATGAAGTACAATATAGTGGACTAGCAAGATTTGTTTGCTCAGTCATTATTATTCTAATGCTGACTGTATCTGAAATTACAACTTATATATATAACATTAGTTTGCTAAGAAGAGTGGTAAAATAGACTTGTTTATATTCTAGTGTAAAATTTAATGGTTTTTGCCCTAGCTGGTTTGGCTCAGTGGATAGAGCATTGGCCTGCAGACAGAAGGGTCCCAGGTTGGATTCCAGTCAAGGGCACATGCCCGGGTTGCGGGCTCCATCCCCAAGGAGGGGTGTGCAGGAGGCAGCCAATCAATGATTCTCTCTCATCATTGATGTTTCTGTCTCTCCCTCTCCCTTCCTCTCTGAAATCAATAAAAAATATTTTTAAAAATTTAATGGTTTTTAATAAGTCAATAAATGGTTAAGTGCTTGCTTTCAACCATTTATCAGAATCTTCTGATATCTATAACTAAATGATCATACTTGTAACATAATCTTCTGACCTTTATGAATTTCAAAGTGCTTTCCATATGTTTAATTTCATTTTATCCCCCTAATCAGAAATACCAATAACACATTTGAAAAATGTGAAAGCTCATACAGTAGAGGACACTCTTTATATAAAGACGGATAGAAAGGAAAGTGCAAAGTAAAATATTTGCAATATACCAGGGGAACATACTGTTTATAGGGATCCAGAAAGTGACTACTTTTGGAAATAAAAGCTCCTTTCATGGGGAAACACTGACAAGATCATGAAAACTAGAGAGACAGATCTAAGTCTAACCTCACCCCTCTCTCTGGTTTCAACATCCTCTCCTATAAAATAGAAATAATGCCATCTCACAGTTACTGTGAGGGATAATGAAATGTGATCAAGTATATAAAATGCCTGGCCAATGATATTGCA